AAGGTAGCTGCTGGCGTGGGAACAGGGAGATCTATTGACCCTGTGTGTCCAGTTCCTTACCACCCCCTTGTGACAGCCACATCTACGAGACTGAAGCATAACCACAGTGCTCACCTCAAAGGGAGTGAGGCATAGTGTATTCTGGAGCCAAAAATGAGAGACCATGGCCTGAGAACACAGATTTAGGCGACTCCTGAATTCCAAGCTCCAATGTAGTTACAACTGTAGGAATAGGTTTTTGTAGGTACGGGACAGAAAAAGCTATAAATTAAAGCATTTTAAAACTACATCGGTGGGAATATCAGTAAAGCATAAACATCTCTGCTACAGGCTTCATGTATCATCTGGTGACATTCTTTGCCTTTAGGTTGGTGGAAGCTAAAAGAGATTTTACCTGGTAGTCAAACGGAAGTTAGGCCAAACACAGAGGTGGGCAAGAAATGACAAAGGAGATGCTGAAGGCAGCATAGTAGGGCCACAGCATTCCAGCTTTCTATCATCAAAGAAGTCCTAGTTTTTCAGCCTTGTGGAACAAGTTTAGCACAGCTGTGGCCTCTTCCTCAGAACTTCTGTTCACATCTCCAACATTCTTTCAGTGCCCTCAGGCCAGGCTGTTTTCAAGTGGACCATTTCTCATTGACAAGGTAATATAGGCCTCAGATTCCAATTATCAGAACCCCTAGCAGTTTGGCCACCCTCAGATGTTCTCTGATATTATGCCTGGCTCCCTGGCCTTAGCTTGTTGGAGAAACACCTTAAGAGGTTTGTATCATATCTCTTTTAAATTATTATTCTGCATTAAAAAAAGAATATTTTGGAGCACCATACTGGTATTTTTTTTAATATGAGAAAATAAGTTGTGAGCCAAGGATTATGATAGATACCTACGAAATGCAGTACAGCTGCTATGCTCATTGACTTGATTATGGATTGCCACAAAGGAAATACAAGCTAAAGACACGGATGGTATAGTTTAAAGGGCATTCTCTTAAGGAGATCAGGGGCTTCTGTCCTGACTCCAAGCCTATTGTTATGACTAGGCTTGGTGCAAGTCAATGAGCAACCAAGGAGTTCCATTATTTTATATTAGTAAGTATTTTTACTGCTCTAAGTTTTGCAACTTGTATTATCATTGCTACTCTGATTAGCCCAGGCATCTCACACTGGAGCAAAGTGTACATATATCGTTGTATAATACCTCTGGCATCACACAAGCTCATCTGAACAGTGCACATGAGTTGGATTGTGAGTCTATGCTGTGTTGAGAGGGCTGGAACAAACAGTAAAATGCATAGCACCGAACAAGAAAAGGAATGATGTAATGTCGATACTGACCTTTGACTTTATTTAGCTTCCCTTTATAGGTGCTACAACGCATGTTGCATCTCTAGCCTACAGGTGGCATTTCTAATGATGATATTCCGGAGTACTGTTCAGCAAGAAAATATAACAGGACAGAAAACACACTGAAATCAATTATTTTCTAGTAACTTTATTCAATTAAAATCATCTCTGTATAGATTTTAGTGGGGAATTTAGTTTCCAATGCCATACATTTTGGACAGGCATCACAAAGGAGTATTGAAAGCACCTTTACCCCCTCTTTTGAGACAGGGTTTTTCTATGTGACCCTAGCTGACCTGGAACTTGCTCTGTAGATCAGGCTGGCCTCAAACTTACAGAGATCAGCCTGCCTCTGCCTCCTGAGTGGTGGAACTAAAAGCATGGGCGACCATTGCCAGGCCAAAGCAAAACCATCTTAAGGATGAGGGCCTGTCAATAAACTCACATATTCTACATTAGCAATAAACACTGTTATTTTTTTAAAAGTGATTCTTTGCATAGGCCTTTTGACACTTGTATTCACAACATTCAGGATACAAGGAGGGAGATAACCACAAGTCAGAGGCCAGCCTCAGCTAAATATGTAACCTCAGGACAGCCTGGGCTACAGAGTGAGATCCTGTTGCACAAAACCAAAATAAATAAATAAATAAATAAATAAATTGTCATGTACCCCTTTACTATTACCCTTTCATAATATTTTAGTATAATTACTATTCATGAAATAATGCTACATTATTTCATGCATGGCTCGCTATGCCTACTGATATTTCGGCAAAAGAAATAAAAGGTGTTTCCTAGCAACACCTGTATTCAAAGGAACAGCAACAACAATAAAAGCTTAATTACAAACACTTTTTTTCCTCAAAGTTGACTTTTGTCTATCTAGGGAAGTTACTGGGTCTCAAGGAAAGCATGGCACAGATCAAGGCCTAGGAACAGGTCTGAGCAGAGTCTCTCAGTCTTTCCGTCCTGGAGATGGGTGAGCAGGATGATCCGTTAGGGTTTGCACCTAGAACAGCCTTTCCCATAGCAATAGGCAGTGCTGTAAAGACAATTCTGCCCTGTGCTGTTTGGTCCATTTACTTGAAGCTATAGAATGGGTGCTCCAACTGGGAGCCAGGATGCTGGATTCCTAGTGACCCATCCTGTCTGTGGATACACAGACAAGCCCCCTTCTCTGGATTTGTCATTAAGTGGATGACACTCAGAAAAGATGGTTACAAACATCTTCAACATCTATAACAGTCCTTACCACCCTCCCGCCCGGATTTATTAATATTTCGAAATAGACTGGTATGATTCCTGCATCCTAGGAAACCATCATTTGGAGATTAAGCAGCTGACTTCCTGGGCCTTTCTGGAGGGGAAACATGCCCTTGTATTCTGCCTTAAAGAGATTTCCTGCCTGGGTGTGGGGCCTGGCCCCAGAGTGAGGTAAAGGTGATCTGATCTCAGTAGAAGTTTACAGCAAAGAAAACAGCTTCGTTTAAAGTGGAAGTGGCCTTTTCGTTTTCTTATTTTCAGAAAAGCTAGGATTTTTTTTTCATGTCGTGCGCACGAGTCATTTTAAGTCTCTGCATCTTTCACCCTGAAAGTCCCTGCACAGAAACTCCGCGGGGAGTCTAAATATAGCTGCACCGAACTCTCCCCGCCTTCAGCCAGGGGTCTCCAAGCAGCTCTAGGATTGGAGAGCTTATTCCAGGACGCGGCTCTCTCTCTCTCTCTCTCTCTCTCTCTCTCTCTCTCTCTCTCTCTCTCTCTCTCTCTCTCTCTCTCTCTCTCTCTCTCTCTCTTTCTGCATCTGCCTTGAATAGCAGGGCACGGAGCAATCTCTCTAGCACCTCCACGGTGTGTGGGTGTAAAGTGTATTAGGGGAAAGCAGGAATGACTCTGGGTGTTGGGGCTTGGCTAACAGTCACGTGGTACCACTGCCAGCTGCACAGCGCTAGGGGTTAGTAGTGCCTGCAGTCCAGAGGCTTTAAGGGAAGCAAGGTCTTGCTGAGTAAGAACCAGGGAGAGGACGTCACAAAACAATAACGATAAAAATAAAAGTAAAACTTTTAGCCGACGCTCTGACTGTAGAGAGCAGCTGTCTGTGGGCGTGGGTGTATACACGGTGTGTGTGGGGTGGGGTGGGGGGAAGGTGTTGGTAGAGTATTATCTGCTATGGGTGAGACGACCAAGATAAGAATTTTGCCTTAGTGTTGGTTAATAGTCATGGGAGGAAAAAAGGCACACGGATGGCCACTTTGCTACTGTCTACCGTGGCTTTGTGTTAAAAGCATAATTCAGTTGAACTTGGTGATTATTACTTTTTTTTTTTTTAATATTTGGGAGGAAGCCTGCTCTCTTGGAAGTTGTTTCCAATCCTGGCGTCCTGTCAGTTTCCCCAACGCTGAATCTCTTGTTTAATTGCTAACAATGTTTTTGAAAGGCAGAGTCCTGAGCCAGCAGCAGCATAATCACACTCTCAGCCAAGAGCGCTGGCTTTGGGGCGCCCATCTGGCAGAGGTGGTAGGAGATCCTGTCAGTGCTTCCCCTTACCACAGCGTCTCTAACATTGTTAAGTTACAGCATCCTGTCTGAGGGCAGGTCCTGGGCTCACCACCCTCCATGATCCCTCTCTAACTCACTGGGGACACCACCATCGCGGCGGAGACTTAGGCAGTTTTATGACTTTCTCCCACTTCAATGGAAATTTCTGGAAGGAGGGAAGTGGGTTAATTTTCCCAGGCTTCTCTATCAGGGGGAGCTCCCTCACCGCAAAGGAGCTACTTTGGAGTTTTACGCCCTTCCCACACCCCACCCTTGGGGATGGGAAGGATGTTCTGCGACTCGCGGGCTTGCTGTCTGAGGCTAGGATGGAAAGTCACAGCCTGCAGGCTGGATTGAGTCGCGGGGAGCTGCTGGGTCCCTGCCTGGCGCTCTCCCGGGTGTGTCCATTGAACTGCGGTGGACTGGTCCCCAGCGCGGGAATCCAAGCGCCACTGCCCGAAGCGTAGCCCCCCGCGGGCTTCCTCCTAGGCTAGCCAGAACCTGGAGGGCAGGACGGAACCTCTCCTGCCCACACGCATCGCCTGAGGATGGCTGGACCAGGCGCGGCATAGCAGTGGGAGAAGCCCAGAGACCCGCTCGTCCAGTTTGTTCACGAGGCAACGGGCGGACTTCACCCTCAGGACAGCTCTGAGCCCCAGGAAGAACCAAACCAAACTCAGCCTGGGCGACCGACTTAGGATCAGGCTGGTGCTCTGCGGAGGGGACAGGGGACAGACAGACTCGAACCCCGCTGGGTGTGCACGCGAGCGAGCGTGCCTCGGGGTATCCCGCACACCCCGGGTCCGGTCGGCGGACACTCCGCGGGGAGAGGAGGGAGTGGCAGCCACCGGACTAAAAGGAAAGCGAGGGACACCTCACAAAGTGACGCCCCCAACAGGTCCGGATTTGGAATTGGAAGCGACAGAAATTTGGACCTCCCCTGGCCTGCCCCGCACACCTCGCGGCCCCCGCCCGGAGCCCCGATTTTCCGCTAGTCCGCCCCCCCCGGGGGCGCCCCGTCGGCTGCGGGTTTCCTCCTGCAGACCTGCCCGCGCACATGAAGCCGCTGCCCCCGCCGCAGGCGCCGGCGCCCCCCTCGCGGTGCCCGTGGTGATGCCATGCCCCGCCACCACGCGGGAGGAGAGGAGGGCGGTGCCGCCGGGCTCTGGGTGAGGAGCGGCGCGGCAGCGGCGGCGGCGGCGGCGGCGGGTGGGGGGCGCCCGGGCAGCGGCATGAAGGATGTGGAGTCCGGCCGCGGCAGGGTGCTGCTGAACTCGGCGGCCGCCAGGGGCGACGGCCTGCTGCTGCTCGGCACCCGCGCGGCGGCGCTCGGCGGAGGCGGCGGCGGCTTGAGAGAGAGCCGCCGGGGCAAGCAGGGGGCCCGGATGAGCCTGCTGGGGAAGCCGCTCTCCTACACCAGCAGCCAGAGCTGTCGGCGCAACGTCAAGTACCGGCGGGTGCAGAACTATCTGTACAACGTGCTGGAGAGACCTCGCGGCTGGGCGTTCGTCTACCACGCGTTCGTGTGAGTACCCGCGCCCCCAACCCCGACCCCCGTGCACCCCTAGCTATGTCCTCTGTTGGGGAGCCCCCTGTGCCTGGAGCCCCGGGGTGCACTTGGCGCCCGCGCCCTGGCTCTAGGCGCGGAAACGCGCGCGCGCTCACACACACAGAGCTACACACACGTGGTGGTTTTTTTTTTTTTTTAATTTCTTTGCACGTGTTTGCCATCGGCCCTCTGGAGCCCTCAAGCTCTCTCGTCCCACCTCTCGCTCTGGTTCGGATTGAACCGTTTTGCTCCCAGAGCACCCAAGGGACTGCCGGTCAGTTCCAAGTACCTGGGTGCTTGAAGGCAGAAGCTGGATTTAGGCGACTCAGATAATCGGGAGCGGATTAGGTTCTGATATACGGAAACTTAGCTGAGTGGGGCGCCCGGGAGCTGGGGAACGCTCAGGGAGATTGTGTTCCAACCTGAGGCTGGAGAGTATATTGGAGAGATTGGGAGGGCATGGCAGGGTAAGATGGAGTGGAGAGGAGAAGGTTAAGAGTGGGTCCACAGTCAGCTCTGGGGTCAAGCAGAGGAAACTGCTACGTGGTGGAGAGAGAGACTAGGTTGTAAGCGCGCCCGGAAACACGCCTGGCCACCATCACAGCTGTCACTAACGGAAAATCTGTCAGTGCACGTAGTAGTCACTGCCACATAGAGGTGGTCAGAGTCTAGCGGGCTATCCAAGCTCTGCTGCAGGCAGCTCAGGCTGCAAGTGGACAACCCGGAGTTCAGGAACACAGACATGCACAGGGACCAGCTGTGACCCGGATCAAGCAGTGCGTTTAGTTGGCACTTATGGCACTGAGACAAAGTGTGTGTGTGTGTGTGTGTGTGTGTGTGTGTGTGTGTGGTAAGCCCTCACCCTCACCGTCTAGCAGAGAATGCGAGAATACTTAATGAGAAAATGATTGGAAGCAAATGTTTATTTTTCCCTTAGGCATTAAAAAAGCTTTCTGTGGCTTTAAAGTTTACTACTGTTTTGCCCGACGTCCATTCATTCAATCTCCTTTTAGAGTTAGGTGTGTCTGAACGACGACTTACGGTTGTTTTTATGCCTTCACCCCCTGTCTAATTTCATCTTTTTGAAGAACCCCCCCCTTCTTCTTGCCCCATCTCCACCTCCTCCTTCTTTATGTTAAGAAGGAATACAAACATTTTAGCCTTAGAAGACCTTTAGAGAAATTTGCAGGCACATACTGATTGATTTTTCTTACTTAAGATATGTTTGGAACAGACAAAAAATAATCTTTCAGAAGTGTCGCATGCCATCCTATACTTCTCCCTCATGTGGAATGAACAATTGGCACCAACCCAGGAAACTTAAAAAAAAATCATACTATCAAGAGAGAAAGAGCTGCTTTTAGAAATAGGTGAACCTGAAGTGTGAACAGGTAGAACTCAGGAAACTGGTGGAGTCTGCACTCCAGGGCCCCGGTGGCTGGAAATCTTTACAGTTCCAGATTGCTGTGAACAAGTAGGTTTAGGTGAACTATTCCAGCCAGCTTCATATATTTGCAAGGCACACATAGAGAATGTTGTGTTCTGTCTAGCGTCGTTACATTCAAAATATAAGGTCTATCATTTGCGGACGGAAGAGTCACAAGTATTTGGATGTAATTAATGATAAACACCTCTGACACATGTTAAGTTCATCTCCTTGGGTTCATATCCAATTAATTTAGTACTTAATGACCTAATAAATTATTTTGACCTGTCAGGATATAATATACATGTTTAAAAGAAATGCCGAGGCCTAATTTGCTGTAAATAGGCACAGTATGGAGGATGATATTTTTAGAACATGCTCAAAATATTCATGGCTTTGAGTTTTAAATATGATGTAATATAAAGTACATGTTATGGGTTCAGAGGGAGCTTGACAGAACCTCCCCTGACAGACATACGGATGTCTCCTAAGCACTGTTTACAAGCAGGAGTGAAAATTTCTCAAAATGCATCATTTTCTTTTTGACATCTGGTTGTTAAGCCGATTGTTACGGGTTTCTGGTGTTATTACATTTTGATGAATTATTTATTTATTTTTTTATTTTTAGGTTTCTAGTTTAAGTATTTTCCTGCTAACCAGTTTTATCAGTGAATCCAGTGGTGGGAAAGAACGTGAATTGTGTGCTTGTCAACACAGTATTGCTGATGTAAAGTTCTTCATAATGTTTTGAGGAGCCTTGAGGGCTGTAGGGTGGGAGTCGCTGAAGCGACATAGTGATGGAGAATTACCATGAGCACAGAGTCAGAACCACAGAGGCAGGTTCTGGAAGGATGGGACTTAACCACTGCAGAGCCTGGGGGAGGGATGAGGGGTAATCACTACTTATGATTTTAAATGAGGTTTTGAATAGCCGGAATTTACACGTTAAATTAATAAAGCAAGGTTACTTTGAGCTGCAGGTCTAATAAGACCATTACAGGAAACTATAAGAAAACAATTTCTAAAGAGGTGTAACTAACTAATGCCCTGCCAGCCTGGGAATCCTCAAATCTTACTTTAATAACAGTTTTTTTTGTAGGGTATTAAGCTCTTTGCCAAGAACAAGCACACTGTGATTAATGAGGCAGTTCAGGGATGAATTTACTTGGTTAGCCCAGTGTCTCTGCTGCCAAGAAACCAGAGAAGTATGCTTAACATTATGCTTCAGGTAAAGAGAATACTCTGTGAAAATATGTAAAAATGATTATTATAATGATATTTTAATGCCCTAAAATGTGATCTGATGAGTGTATACCCCAGCCTACTGGTAAGAATGCTGGCAAGAGCAGAGAGGACCTGCATCAAGTGATTTCTTCCTCAGTTTGTGGGCCTTAGGAAATCCAGGCACTTCCTGCTTTTTTGGAGTCCCCGAGCAGCAGTGTGTTCTGCCTTCAGCTGTGATACAATTAACCAGATGAGCTCTTAAAATAGGAGATGATTTCTCTGAGTTGTTTGTTCCATTTAAATTGCCCTTCTTTGGGGAAAATTTAGAAGAATTATGGTAGTTGTAGAGGAGTGTTCGTGATAGGATTTCTAATGTAAGTTTGCATTAGTGTAGCAAATGCGGTCAGTCCTGAGGACTCACGGGAACGCCTGTGCCTGTGAGATGTATCAACGCAGATACATCCACCTACCCATACAGCCATCCATGTACCCATCTACATCCCATTGCCCAAAGCATCTCTGTCTCTTTTAGTACTGTGAATCAGAGTTCATAAATACTTTAAACTAGAATATTCCAACCACCCAAACTAGGGAGCCTGGAGTCGTCATCATCATCATTGTCGTTATTATTATTATTTTATTTACTAGCTACTACTGACCATATAAGTGACCATTAAATTTTGTTCCTTTGCTTTGAAATCTTACAAACATATCTCTTTCTGTCTTTTGCTGCTTCCTCGGTGCCTCTCTGTTTCTCAGAACCTCTTCTTTGCTGCCTGGCCATCTTTCTTCTATTTACAATTCTGTAGCCACCATTCTGACACAAGTCTTATTAATAAAAGCCAAACGTGATCACATCATATATAGGTTTATCCATTTACATATATCTGAGTGTCTGAGGTATTTGCTGATTTCTAAATTAATGAGGTAAAGGCTTCTAATTTTCAAGGAGGACAAGCATTTAGGTGGTTTTAAGCATTTCAACATGTGTGAGATAATACTGTCAGGACTGTGACAGAGAAAATAAGTTGCAAAATAAATTAATGCAAAATCTATTTACTGCTCAGGGCAGAAAAGTCAGCTGCCTTCAAAGGGGAAGCGAGGCCTGGGCTGAATTTGAATGGTCAAGTAGCCCATTTTCAGGGAGGCAGACCGGGGAAATGAGACATCTTGACAGAGAAAATAGCTTTAGTGAGTGTGGGGTCCCAAATGTGTAGTAACAGTTAAGTACTCTAAACTCATTGCAGGATAAAGCCAACATCAAGAAAAGGGTTGGAGGGACTTGCCCCTGATTTTTGTAGCTTTGATGATAGACATGGCCATGGAATGATGGAGGCCTTCCCTGTAGGATGTAAGGCTGAATGAATGTTGAAAATCAAGAGAACATATCTCAACTTGGAAAGTGAATTGGAGAGGGGATTTAAACCAGTATCAGAAGGGGGACCAAAATATTCACCAGAGGAAATATGGAGACCAGGTATGGAGCAGAGACTGAAGGAAAGGCCATCCAGAGACTGCCCCACCTGGGTTTCCATCCCATATACAGTCACCAAACCCAGACATTATTGTGGATGCCAAGAAGTGCTTGCTGACAGGAGCCTGATATAGCTGTCTCCTGAGAGGCTTTGCCAGAGCCTGACAAATACAGAGGCAGATGCTCACAGCCAACCATTGGACTGAGCAAGGGGCCCCCAGTGGAGGAGTTAGAGAAAGGACTGAAGGAGCTATGTGCAACCCATAGGAAGAACAACAATATCAACCAACCAGACCCCCCCAGAGCTCCCAGGAACTAAACCACCAACCAAAGAGTACAAATGTGCCACATGGCTCCAGCCACATATGTCGCCACATATGGTGTTGTTGGGCATCAATGGGAGGAGAGGCCCTTGGTCCTGTGAAGGCTTGATGCCCCAGTGTAAGGGAATGCCAGGGTGGGGAGGCAGGAGTGAGTCGGTGTGTGGGCAGTAGAACACCATCATAGAAGCAGGGAGAGGAAGGATGGGATAGGGGTTGTGGAGGAGAAACTGGGAAAGGGGATAACATTTGAATTGTAAATAAATAAAATATCTAATAAAAGTAAAGGAAAAAAAGAAATCATAAAATGGAGTCAGTTCAGTGTGTAATTAGGTGGAAAGAGTATTTCAACATTTCCATTCATTCTGAGTATTTTTTATCTTTAAGTTCACCCTGCAAGTGTCTCTTGGCTCTCTATGTTCCCCTGGTTGTTTGGGAAACCTGCGAGATGATTGCCCAAGATGCCAAGGTAGTGACTATGGGGATAAAGAGAGAGGTTTCATCAGAAATGTTCCTTTTTCTTCTAGGATTC